GAAAAGGAGACAAATACAGATGCATCCGAAACTTTACACGATAAAGAGAGAATGCTATAAACAGCTTTATGCAAAGCAATTTGAATTGTTTTTGGGATAAACGACCTCACAGAAAAAGATAACATTGAACCGACTCAAGAACAGTAAAACCCAAATGTATCTGCCCCTTGGAAGACACGAAATCAGAGGTAGAACACTCCACAAGGAGGAAAGAAAATCAAAGAACAGGAGTTCCGATCTCACACAGGTCCTCTGCTGAATATAAACATAAGTGGGTTTTACTATCCCTTTTACGAGGCTGGTATGACTTCAATACCAGAAGCAGACAAGAACAGTCAAGAAAGAAGAGGTCCAAGGTGAGCCTATTTTAAATGCAAAAATCCTAAACGAAACATCAGCAGGTCATGTCCCGAAGCGTGTAACAAACCCTCCCAAACCAACGTGGGCTTGTTCCAGGAGCGTAAAATGGCTTAACGTTGAAAACTGCATTCATGTAAGGCCACGTCTGAGGGGGAGTTCAGGACGATGCCTCATTCGGGGTGACGGGAGCATCTTTTGGCCGACCGGTCAGAGGCCCCTGGAATCAGCAGCGAGCAAAGCCAGGGAGCTTCCGTTCCGGGGCAGGGCGGGGGCGGGGTGGGGGGGGACAACAGGAATGGAATGAGCAAGGACAAAGACACCTGCTTTGAATACAAGTAAAACCCACTACACTGTTACACGGCCCCTACCTTTGCCAGGGCCCTTGCGTCTTAACAGCCACTGTTTCAGAGTGATGCTTGCTAGTGATGGGACGGAAGCCTGTTCTCTCTCCGTCTCTGTCTCTCTGTGTCTCTCTTCCTCTCTTTCCAGTTACTAAATACAAAGACATTCTTGACAACACTGCTCTTTTATATTAATTTTAGAATCAGCTTGTCTAGTCCCCTGGGAAACTCTGTCCTGTCTGTCTCTCCATTAATTTAGTTTCTTTTTAATCCTTTGACACGTTGTTTGTAATTCTCTGTCTCCACAAACGTCATAAACATGTTTGTTAGTTACCTTTTTTGTTACTGTTGGTCATAAACATGTTTGTTAGTTACCTTTTTTGTTACTGTTGGTCATAAACATGTTAGTTAGTTATCTTTTTTGTTACTGTTGTAATTGATACATGTAATTCTGAAGCGTATTGTCTGTTGCTCCTAGTTTGGAGAAAGGCATTTCATTTTTGTCGTTGTTGTATATTAATCTTTTATCCAGGAGCCTTGCTACATTCTCGTATCAAGTTTTTTCTGTAGATTCTCTAGGTTTTCGCAGTGACATCGCCTGAGAATGCTAAGAACTTTCTTCCTTTCATATCCCGGTCCTTTTTCTCCCTCCCCTATCGATCTGGTTGGTCTGCAGACTGGCGAGGCTTCCTGCCAATGTCTAAGAAAAAATGGTGACAGTAGGCATTCTTGTTATATTCTTGATCCGGGAGGGATGCTTTTAATATTTTACCATCCAATATAGTATTTGCCATAGATTTCTGGTAGCTAACTGTTATCAAGCTAAAGAACTTCCCTTCGGTTTTTAATTGGTTATGATACTCATTATAAAAAAAATAATGAATAGACGTTGAATTTCATGAGGAAAATTTCCACAGCTTATAAGATGAACATACGTTTTTTTCTTCTTTTTTGTCTTAATGGATTTTCTTGAAACATGTTTAGAATTCAATTTATTGTTGGGGTGCCTGGGTGGCTCAGTCGGTTGAGTGTCCAAGTTCGGCTCAGGTCACGATCTCTCGGTTGGTGAGTTGGAGCCCCGCATCAGGCTCTGTGCCGACTTCTCGGAGCCTGGAACCTGCTTCGGATTCTGTGTCTCCCTCCCTCTCTCTGGCCCTACCTCACTTGCTCTCTGTCTCTGTCTCTGTATCTCTCTCTCTCAAAAATAAACATCCAAAACAACTTAGAATTCGATTTATTGTTTTTGACTAATATGTTCACATGGCTCTAAACGAAAAGGGGTGTGCAGTCAAAGCTCTCGATGGACGGTTTTCCCTCTCCACCCCCCACCCCCCTTCCTCCCAGAAGACTCCTGGGTCCCCAGGTTCATTTGTGTCCACCCTGAGATATCCCGTAGAAAAAGGGGAGATTAAAATACATTATTTGAATTCCTATTTCCTATTATATCATACTAATTATTCTGGGCCATGTTTTCTTCTTTTGTTTTTGTTTTGGCTTAACAAATGTCTCCGAGATCATTCCCCAGAGTGTATACAGGGACCCTCCTTATTCTCATTTCTAGCGTAGCCCTCCAGTGCTCCATTGTACCTAGTGTTCCACATGTACCTAGCCAGCCTTCTCGGGACGGACGTCTAGGTCTGGCGGACCCCCGCTAGCGTGCGCAGGGCTGTGGTGACGGCACCGCACACGTTCCGTCTGCACACGCACGAGGGTGTCTGCACGACAAATCCCGGAATGAGAACCGGTGGGTCAAAGGTTACGTACACTTGAAACTCAATGCATTTTATCAAATTCCCTTTCCCAGAAGTCGGTCTGATTTATATTTCCTCCAGCAAGGCACGCGAGACTTGTTGCCCCATTCTCTTGTTTCACAAACCTGTGTGCATGTTAAAGGCTTTGTTTTGTTCTGTTTTTCTCATCTGATGAGAAACCGATGGTATCTCTGTTCTCATCCACATTTCTTTTATTACGAGGGGGTTTGAACACGTCTTCGTACAGTTAGGCCAATTATATTTCCTTTCCTCTGAATGCTTGCTTATCTCGGTTGTCAGTGTTTCCACTGGTCCTTGTTAAGAAGATTATTTACAGGAGCTCCCCATATATTAGGGAAACGCAACCCCTTCTGTGATTGCCATCCATTCCGAGTTGGTCCATGGCCTTTTGACCTGGCCTACTTAGGGTTTTACCTAATTAAACGCTTAAAAAATTTTCGACTTAATTCAACGTAAAAGAAAAAAAGTGTACGTAACCAAATTCATCCGTCTTTCAGGTGTTTGGCCTCTGGGTTCGGTGTCACACTTGGAAAGGCCGTCCCGGCTCTGAGGCACTAAAGCGACGCAAGTAAAAACCAGAAGAAAAACCACCAACGATGATGATGAGGGCTAACCCACGTCTAGCGGGTCATCTGGGCCAGGCCGTTTGTTCCAAGAGGGAACTCCGCCATTATTACATGGTACAGATGAGGAATGAGAGGCACGGGGGCTGGTGACCTCCACAAGCTCACAGAGGTCACGTCTGGCCCCGCCGGGATTGGAACCCGGACCCGCCACCTCCAGAGTCTTGTCATCTCCGCTCCTCCGCTGCCCATTGCTTGCCGCGTTCCTTCCACAGTTCCACCTTTTACTGTTAGATCATCTGTACACCTGGGACTGGTTTCCACGGAGGGGGAGGCATGTCCTCCCGGCCGTGAAATAACGATCGCATCGCCACCTTGTCCAACCCTCCATCTTCCTCCCGTTTGAAACGCCTCATGACCTCAGCCTCCGCCCTGTCGCTGCTTTGGGTGTGCCCCGTCCCCAGGGAGCTCGGTCAGTGATGCCTGCAGCCTTCAACTCCACGTATCCACGGACCCTCAGCCCAGACCTCTTGCCTGAACTCAACTCCCGAATCCGACCCATGGGCTGCACCGCAAGCATGTCCCCTCCAAGGCTTCTCCTTCCTCTGATGTCCCCAGCTCTGCAAAGGGAGGCTCTCTTCCCTCAGGCCATGCAGCCTCCTTCCCTCATACCCCACTCCACATCCATCAGCCAAGTTCTCACTCAAAACACACAAAATACATCGAAACAGCTATTGGGAGCTATGCGTTCTGTTATTTCCCTCCAGACCGCTCAGTGGGGTCTAGGTAGACATTGCAGTCACCAGCTCATGGCAGGTCACGTTGGTGCCCTTGTTCCATTTTGTCTGTAAGCCTAGTGTCCATACAGAATGACGTTCCAGAGACAGGAGGGTCACTGTGACGAGGTTAGGTCTGCTCAGTCGGTTGAGCATCCCACATCAGCTCAGGTCATGATCTCACGGCTCATGAGTCTGAGCCCTACATCGGGCTCACTATTGTTATCACAGAGCCTGCCTCAGATCCTCTGTCACCCTCTCTGCCCCTGCCACGCTCACACTCTCTTCTCTCTCAAAAATAAATAAATATCTTTAAAAGACATATGATAAAAATAAAAATAAACGTGAAGACCCAAAACACCAATAGGTTAAAGTAAATGGACAGAAACAGATACACCACGGTAACCCTCGTCAACAGAGAAGAGAGTGGCATATATTAACTTCAGACGCTTACGGAACCAGGCCGGATCACTGGCGGAAAAACCAAGCAGCACTCGGAGATCTTGGTGGATCGGAGTTTTATTTTACACCGGCGGGCTCAGAGGAGATCCTTCTCCAGATGTCTGAGTCTTGCGCACAAGCAAGGGGGACAGTTTATCATAATGCATTACTTCTGCGTCCCGCGCTGGTACTAATCTGGCTCACACGGCAAGCAGGGCAGGAAGAAGAACCTGGAAGGAGTTTCTAAGCTAGGAACTAGAGTTATGTTAGTCCCATCAGCCATCTTACGGTGCAGAACTTTACTTATTTTCCCAACAAGACAAAGTACGTTTTGTGCAAAGAATATTACCGGGCATAAAAAAGTCATTTCATAGTGGTAAGTGGGTCAATGCATCGAGAGGTGTAACAATCCTACATGTTAACGCACCTGATAACAGTGCTTCAAAATACATAAGACAGGGGCGCCTGGGTGGCGCAGTCGGTTAAGCGTCCGACTTCAGCCAGGTCATGATCTCACGGTCCGTGAGTTCAAGCCCCACGTCAGGCTCTGGGCTGATGGCTCAGAGCCTGGAGCCTGTTTCCGATTCTGTGTCTCCCTCTCTCTCTGCCCCTCCCCCGTTCATGCTCTGTCTCTCTCTGTCCCAAAAATAAATAAACGTTGAAAAAAAAATAAAAAAATAAAAAAATAAAATAAAATACATAAGACAAAAATTAATGGCGTTGAAAGGAGAAGTAGACAAACCCACAATGGCGGTAGGAGAGTTCAACAACTCTGTCAATAATTGCGGCAACAAGTAAGCAGAAAGTCAGGAAGGACGTGAACTTGGTCCCCGCTGCCCACCCAATGGACATCATTGACATTCATAAAACACTCCACCCTGAAAACAGCAGAATTCACATTCTTTTCAGGTACCCATGAAACATTTACCAAGGTAAACCATACTTCGGGCCGTAAAACAATTCTTAAATAACTTAAAAGGATTCAAATCAGACCAAGTGTGGCTACCGTAGAATTGAATTCTAAATGTAAAAGAGGGCAGTATGTGGGAAACCCCCAAATCCCCGGGGAGGTGGGGGGTGGCGTGAGTGGGGTGGGCAGAATTCTAAGGTGGACTTGTGACCTGTGCCCTCTGGTGTTGGTGTGACTCCTGTGAATTTTCTGTTAAACAAAGGGATTTTTGCATACGTAATTAAGGCACTATTCAGTTGACTTTAAGACGGGGAGATTGTCTGGATGGGCCCAACCTAGTCAGAGAGTTCTAAGTCCGAGGTCTGAAGCTTGAGGGAGAAGAGGTTCATTGTCATTTCGGTAGGTGGAGGGGCATGAGGAGGACCTGAGAGGGGCCTCTGGGAGCTGCGAACAGCAGTCAGGTGGCCACCAGGAGGCCCGGACTTCAGTCCTCCGACGGCAAGGGCCTGAGTTCTGCCAGGCGGGTGTCCGTGCAGGAGAGGACCCACGCTGTCCCGCCACATCCTGGCCTCCGGACCGGGTGAAAATAAGGGGGTGTTGTTTGAAGCCTCTATTTGCGTAACCGGTCATTCAGCGGCAGGAAACTGATACAATATAGAAAGCAAGCAACACACTCGAGTATAACACGTGCGTCAAAGAAGGAAAACCAGAAAGCATTTCAAGCAGAATGAAAACGGAAACACGACGTAACCCTTCATTGGACGGAACATGGACGGACCTCGAGGGGACAGTGTTGGGTGGGAGGAGTTGGAAAGGCAAAAACACCATGTGATTTCACTCGCACGCACGTGGAGTTTAAGAAACAAAACAAAGGAGCAGAGAAAAAGAGACAAAGAAGCAGACTCTGAACTTCGGAGGGCACGCGTGTCCGGTGGCCGAGGAGGCCGGGGCGGCGACAGGGGCGGGGACTCAGGCGTGTGCTCCTGGCAGGCACCGAGGAGGACCGAGCAGGACTGCTGGGTCACCATACCGCGCACCTGAACCTAATACAATGCGTCCATTAGCCACACTGGGATTTAAAAAGTAAATTAATTTTTAACAAGTTCATCGGATCTGGCTTAAGTCACATGAGAAAAGAGGAGAGGTCTCAAACCTGTGACCTCAGCCTCCGCTTGAAGAGATCGGAGAAGGAAAACAGATGAAATCTGAGGTCGGCAGAAGAAAGGAAGCGACGGACGTGAGGGCAGAAATCTATGAAATTGGAAACGGAAAATCAATGAAACCAAAGCTGGGTTTTTTTTTTTGTTTTT